GGACACTAGAGCCGCCCTAGACCCTAAACTCTCAACCCGAATACCTGCTTTCGGAGTTCCTCATCTGTTCGACTCAAGGAGCACTTTCTCATCGCCATCCTTCGACATGCCCAAGGGGTCGAAGTAGCCCACCGGAGCCTGCGACCGACTGTGGATTCTTGAGGGATTACTTAGGGCTTAAGATTTTTTTGGTTCGAGGGTTAGGCTTCAGGATTTAGGGTTCAGGAGGTTAGATTTAGGGTCCTGTGTTTACTGTAGGGCTTGGGGTTGAGGGCTTAGGATTACCCTTCGATAGACACTCTAAACCGAAGAGGCCCGACTTCTTAAACTAGTAGTCATATGGGTGGTCGTCAGAATTATGGCCCCTTTTCGGGTCCTTATGATAATACGGCACCTATTATTTAGGGTACCCCAAATGGGACCCTAATTTTGACAACCACCCATATTTGTACAATATTAAGAAATAACCCTACCTATGTGTTGCTAAAAAACCATTTAATCAACTATTAGTTATATTAGATGATTTAATGAGAACTCTAACTTTTACACCGTCAGACGCCCCAACTGCGCCCCGGAAGGGCTCTCCCGGTGGTTTAGAGCGGCTGATAGACTCTACAAAAGTCGAGATCCCTTAAATCTAAAGCTTGCAGGTTAATTTTCAGAACTCCCCATGTTGACGGAATCAAAAAATTGTGACTACATGCAGCCCAAAACGTCCAAGCAGGAATCTGAGGCTGCAGCCTCTAAGTTCGAAAAAAAACTGCCCACAAACCCTCTGTATAGGGGCCTCTGTTAAGGTCGCCCTATCAGAAAGGGCCCCTCATGTGAAGGCTACGGGAGTTAGTTCTGCTCCGAATCACGTATTCAACCCTAAGCCCTAAGCCCTAAACCCTAAACCCTAAACCCTAAACCCTAAACCCTGAGCTTAACCCTTAAACCCTGAGCTATTAAGCCCTAAGCCCCAAATCCTGAACCCTAAACCCTTAAAGCCTGAGCCCTAAGCCCTACCCCCCAAGTCTGACCAAGGGCCTAAGGAGTGCTGAGTACGTCTCAATGACAGAACTGAGGCTAAGGACTTGGGTCAAAAGGCCGCTCAACGTAGGGGCGCTGAATAATTGGAATAAGGGTTTAGGGTTTAGGGTTTAGGGGTTTAGGGGTTTAGGGTAGTTGGAATAAGGTGTTGTAGTACGAACATATTTTAAGAACCTGAAGGAATCGGATTGGTAACTATCCAACCTTCCATCTTAGTGTCGCAGCGTCGGGGTGTTCGGGGTTGTAAACTGGTGACTGGTTTCGCCTGAGCGCAGGGTTTGGGGGAGCTCGTGGGTCGACATGAGGGTTTCCGAAAATAGTGGACCCTAATATAGTACCTTAAATAGTAGGATCCTTATTATAAGGACCCAAAATAAGGTAACCTATTTTCAGAAACTCCCAATATCATCCTCACCATCATCATGGTCGCAGCACTCGTCCTATAGGTGTTGGAGCCCTCAGTAGCAAGCAGCCCTGTACAATCCTATAGAAGTACACTGGAAACATACCCCCAAGCCCTGTGCTAGTTACTTGGGTCCCCATACTATCGGAGCATGGCTATAATACTGAGACCTTTGGACTTGGCAGCGTAAACAATGGCGTTTCGGGGAGTTGCCTAGGCCGCCATGCGAGCCCGGTCCTTCTGTTTGAAACGTCTGAGGGCATGGGACTTCGGGGATGTTCGCACGTAGACCCCAACACACCGCCTGCTTGCTGCATACAAAGGCCTTCCAAAACAAGAGGTAGGATGCTTCAGGTTCCAGGGTGACTTACGGTTGATGATATTAAATCCAGCATTACCCATAGTAATGAATAATGAATAAACCATAATACCCATAGCTTTGGGTCCTTAAGCTAGTGCAGGATTTCTATCATCAACAGTCGGGCTCCGGGGGGCCCCAAACGCTAAACCCTTAACCCTCTCAGTTTGGGCCTTCGGGGCGCTGGGTCTATGGAACCCGCACTTCAAGGGCCATAAACATAGGTGCTGTAGCCCGTGTTGAGGAGGTGCGCTGCGGCTAATCAACATCTAGATTCCAGTTGCCGGTTTTTGGAAGGACAGGAAGATTTGTAGCGGCGGTTTTCCTGCCAGAGAGATGAATGCTGAACAGGAGCTAAGTCTGAGGAGACGGGAGCCATTTTTTGCACTGATGGTCCTGACGTCATATACATGGCTGGCCGCCAAAGGGACTCGCCCGAAGCAAGGGCTCTATTGATTCATGGCCTTCTTCGGAGGCCAACATCAAGGCCGTCTTACCGTTCCTGTCCATCAAATTCGTATCGGCACGTCGGCTTAAAAGCAGCCGTACGACGTTCCTCTCGCCCTGTTGCGAGGCTTCCATAAGGGCGGTGGTGCCCTCATTGTCGGCCCAGTCCATGATGGGGCAGATTCCGCGGCTGGTGCCCTCCGTGTCCCTCCAGTCCCGAATGCAGCCGTTGTCTAAGAGAGCCTCCACGATCTCGAGATGGCCCTCGAAAGCCTGGGTTCTGGCTCAGGAACTTAAGCTAATGTAGGGGCCTTCATCATCTCCAATACTATTTAGAGGTTCCTTATCATAATTACGGTTTTTTGGGCCCCAAAACCCTAGTCTAATTATTAAGACCCCCGAAATTAAGCTACCACAGCAGTAGCATGCGATTTCATGCAAATCCCTGTCATGGCAACCTTCAAGAGCAGTTCGGGGACATAAGGGCATCGTAACATGGACCCTAGATAGCACCTTAGTGGGATCCTTGCTATGAGGACACCCCAAGAAAGGGAGCATCAGTTTCAAGAAACCCCCAAAATAAAACTGGTCTTTGGAGATTCCTAATTACTGGAAGAATCCAGAAAGGCAAAGACAAAAGCCAACCAAGAGCCGTAGAGTTACAGTAAGCCCCTGTAATGCAAACCAAGCCGAAGATCCCCTTGGTGAAAGTAATGTCTTTTGTAAGAGCCGAGCTTACGAGCCCTATTGCTACATTGAAATGCTTCGGCTTAGCGTCAGATTAAGCTCCCTAAACCCTCAACCTGAAAGCCTAATAGTTTAGGGTTTAGGGTTTACTAAACCCCCTTAGAAAGAGCCAAGTAGCTGCCATCATCAGCGCAGTGGATCCCGCCTCGGTAACTCTGTTTTGGTCTGCGGCCGCGCGGAGAAGCAAATGCACTGTATCTTCGTGACCATTCCTGAGTGGCTGTGGGCTTTTAGGGCTTAAGGCTTAGGGTCTAGGGCTGAAGACATTTTGAGGTTCAGGGCTTAGGGTCTACGGCTTGTCGGGCTCAGGGTTCTTTGTTTAAGGTTTGAGGCTTGGGTTTTAAAGGCTTCAGAGTTCAGGGCGCAGCGTCCAAGGTTGCCAAAGCCAACATGCTCGTGGCTTCTGTGGCTTGCATAGCTTGTATACGGGTCTTGGGACTATATGGGGCTATATTATCCACCGCAGTAGTCGCACATAAATACCCAACACCGACCCAGATTCAGCGAAGCCTTCATCAAACCTGTGGTGCCCCGCTTGGTAGCCGCATCCGGATTAGCGCGGGCCTGCAGTAGCAAGCGCACCACATCCTTCTTCCCCTCGTGGGAGGCCAGGTACAGGGCCGTGCCGCCGTCAGTGTCCACCACGTCTGGCTCTACCGAAGCCTCAAGCAGCATCTTTATGATTTCGATGTGGCCTTGGAAAGCTGCGAGCATCAGCGGCGTGGCGCCGGCGATATCCACCAAGTTTCTGTTGGCCCCGCTCTCCAGCAGCACACGTGCAGCTCCCACCTGACCATAGCGAGCCGCCAACATCAAGGAGTTTGTTTTGGTGTCGTCTGCGGCATCCATGTCAAGGTCCAGTTCCAAGAGATAGCGCACCACATCAGCACCCCCCTTCTGGGCTGCAAGATTCAAACACGTCTCACCGCCCATGGATCCTTACTTGCCAAGTCTTGGGAGATATAAAGTGAAGCTCCGGGCTTCCGCAAGAAGGAGAACCCATATAGTACCCCAGAAATCCTTGTACATCCCTTGAAGGAAACCCTAAAAAGGACCCTGATTTAGAGAACATGCCCAAGAAATACCTAAGTCCCTTAATTGGGGTTATAAGTATAGTTACCCTAATTATAACCCTACGTACTAAGTCCCATGATCCTTTAAGTACCGGCTACATCAGCACCGAGCATCGAACGTGAAGCTGGGCACCAGCTTCAACCAGGAAGCGCAAGACCTCGAGCCTGCCATTGTAAGGCCCCTTAAGGGTTTAGTTGGGGCTTAGGGTTTAGGGGTTTGGGGGTTTAGGGGTTTAGGGGTTTAGGGGGTTCAGGGGTTTAGGGGTTTAGGGGTTTAGGGCCTGCCATTGTAAGCTGCCAGCATCAAAGCTGTGTTGCCAGAAGTATCTTCAATCAGCTCCATGCCTGGCACCTGCTTTGCACAGCACCCGAACAGTTTCAAGGTGACCCAAGCCAGATGCCATCATAAGAGGTCGAATGCCCTGCTTGCTTGGCACATCCGGGTCTGCATGGGCCTCCAGCAGCAGCCGAACGACTTGAGTATGCCCCCTCGTGGACGACTGGCACAAGGCAGTGTAGCCCCTCCCGTTTTTCGCATCCGGGTCATAGGGCGCCGAAAGCACAGATTCAACCTTGCAATGTTAAGACGGGGCCCAGGGATGCCTAGAGTGTCTGATGATTCGGGTAAAGTGATGACTCACCGATCATCTGCTTCAGACTACTTGGAGGATCATGGGACTTAGTAAGTAAGGTTATGAGTCCCTTAATTGGGGTTATAAGTAAATATAAGTATGGTTCCTTAGTTATAACACTACTTACTAAATCCAATGATCCTTT